TACAGTTGTAGATAGGTCTGTTCATGTCATGAATTACCATGTGAGACTGCAAAATGTGTTTTTGTGTAAAACTTTTCCTGCATATCGAACAACTGAACGGCTTTTCACCGGTATGAATCATCATATGTCTTTTCACATCCCCGAACTGAGTGAAATTCTTTTTGCATATCGAACAACTGAACGGCTTTTCACCGGTATGAATCAACATGTGTTTGTTCATATTACTGGAGCTAGTGAAATTCTTTTTGCATATGAACAACTGTACGGCTTTTCACCGGTATGAATCATCATATGTTTTTTCACATCCCGAACTGAGTGAAATTCTTTTTGCATATTGAACAACTGTATGGCTTTTCACCGATATGAGTCATATGATGACTCATATCGGTGAAAAGTTACTTCTTTACTTCTTTTATATGTTACTTCTTTTTGACATATATTGCAATGCTGTTTCCTTCCCGCCCTTCTTTCTTTCTTTGATAGCTCCATTACTTCCGTTACTGTTTCGATTGGAACAAGCTGCCGCCGCGGTTTAATTCGTTCATCATCCACTCCCTCCACCGATAAACCTTCTAACTTATTTCCTTCCTCTTTCACTTTTGAAGCCGATAAATCCAAGGGCTTTGTTTGAAACACTTGCAATCCAATCTCTTCTTCATTCTCTCTTTCCATTGATAAGCCTTGTAATCCATCCCCCTTCTCTTTCCCTTTTGATATTGATAAATCCAACGGTTCTGTTTGATCCGTTTGCGCTACCTCACAGTGAATGCGCATTTCTTTTCTTTAAAGTGCACAACTACTGTTTCGATTGGAACAAGCTGCCGCCGCGGTTTAATTCGTTCATCACACCGATAAACCTTCTAACTTATTTCCTGAGGGAACTTTTGTGATACCAGACGACAAAGTAATTATGGGATAAATACATAATAATAGGTCGATGACGAGTAAAAAAAAAATCCACAAACATTTGAGACAAATAGACGTGGAAATTTAGAAGTGGAATCACACGCAGAATCATTAAACTTTGTGCACTTTAAAGAAAAGAAATGCGCTTTCTGAGGTAGCGCAAACGGATCAAACAGAACCGTTGGATTTATCAATATTAAAAAGGAAAGAGAAGAGGAATGGATTACAAGACTTATCAATGGAAAGAGAGAATGAAGAAGAGATTGGATTGCAAGTGTTTCAAACAAAGCCCTTGGATTTATCGGCTTCAAAAGTGAAAGAGGAAGGAAATAAGTTAGAAGGTTTATCGGTGGAGGGAATGGGTGATGAACGAATTAAACCGCGGCGGCAGCTTGTTCCAATTGAAACAGTAGTGGAAGTAATGGAACTATCAAAGGAAGAAAGAAGGGCGGGAAGAAAACAGCATTGCAATATATGTCAAAAGGAAGTAACACATATGAAAGGACATTTGATGACTCATACCGGTGAAAAGCCGTACAGTTGTCCGATATGCAAAAAGAATTTCACTCAGTTCGGGGATGTGAAAAGACATATGATGATTCATACCGGTGAAAAGCCGTACAGTTGTTCGATATGCAGGAAAAGTTTTACACAAAAACACATTTTGCAGTCTCACATGGTAACTCATGACATGAACAGACCTATCTACAACTGTATTGTATGCAGTAAAGATTTTCAGACTAAAAGAGGCCTGAAATTTCACATGCAGAATCATTAAACCTTGTGCACTTTAAAGAAAAGAAATACGGTTTGCTATTTCTATTGTTGTTGATTATTTATATTTTCTATTGGTCAAAATCTAGTTACATATTCCTTTTTTTGTTGACAAGTTGCTGTTGGTGTCTTTGATCATATATGTATATTAAGGTTATTTCGTTCACTGTTTTGATTCCTGTAACGCATTTCTCAACATTAGCTTCATCCATTGATTTCATTTGCAAGTGACCATGTGTGCTATGCACGAGATATTTGCAAATAAGTATCGATATTGTTCAATTACTAATGAAATGAAATTGCTCATATGTATTCCTTTCTCGATTATTGCATAAATTAATTAAAAATAAATTTTTGGGAAAGAAAAGAATCATCTTAATCACAACATATCACTTCATAAAGTTATATGATTATGCGATTTGCAGTAAATACATCAGGTTCATATCATTTACATCCTTGGCTGCATCTCACTTATACATTATTTGCTTTTATTTATTCGTTGTTTATTGCATAGTATAAAGTTGATTATATGGTATTTTTATGCAAAATCTGCTATAAGGAAGTTAGTTCCCTTATGATCTCCAACATGCTGTAAATTTATGAAATTGTAAAGTTAGTTGCATCTAGAAAAGTCATATGATAGAAATAATTCCTTTTTCTGTCTTTTTACTTAAAACTTGCAGATTAGCATACTTTGTGATGGAGTTAGTTAAATGCAAAGAGGTAAACAACTTACACAGAGAGAAATATCATCAAAGTTAACAGGTTTGTTGGAAGGTAAGAATTGTTGAAATCGGACTTCAGAAATTATTCCATTACCTCAAAATTATCTCGGATCTCTAAATGGACCAAAAAGGAAAGGCAATAGCTCAGTATTGATATAGATAATTTTCTTATTACCCGGCAACAATAATGCCATGAATGGTGATGGTAAACGTTGGAAATGTCATCGCTTAAAGTGTATAATTGTTAGGAAATTGATCGCTGTGGGCTGTGTCTACTACTTCTGTTCATCTTTTGATAACTAAATTTTCATTTACTAGTGCTTGTTGTGTGCAATGGTCAAGTGGTCCATCTGCTTTTGACCTACGTGTGCTGCGTCTTTCACGAATGTCAGGCGTGTCTCGCTCGCTAAACCAGGGATAACATTGAACTGAGGAATTTGTTACATTTTTTGATGTGTAGAGAGGTAGTCATACAGTGATTGGGTTTTGCATATAGGTTATCTTGATGACGGTTTGTTGCAAATTGAAGGTAACTGATTTTTGCAAATATTTGGTCCGTCTGGTTGCAGTGGTTCTTTAATTTACTAATTTTTATAATTTCTCTACTGCAGTTTGATTTGGACCTCTCTCCACAGATCTCTGTTGAAGTTGAAGACGAATTAATGTATCGTAATAAAATGGTTTTCAGGTAGTTTATTTTACTACTCAAAAACCAACTGGAATTGTTCATTTGCTGTGAAGAATATGTCATGAAGGGGAATGTTGCCTGACAAAATACTATAATTAATCTCTGGTTTACTATTTACCGAACATTCATTACTTAGTTTTATTTGGCTTAGCAGCGGATGGTCATATTAGAACAATCGATAGATTATATAATCCAGTAGAATGTGTAAAGTACATTATAACTCATTATTTAAACTCTGCAAAATATGTAAAGATTAAGACATCCTTTGTATATTTTACATCTGGTAGGGTCATTGGATGTGAAAAAAATTCAATTCAGTTCATGAACTCATTGCTTGTGCTGCGTTTTACCACAGGTAAACAGCTGGGACATTTAAAGAAACGGTTGGTTCTGCAGGGGTTGTGATGTGTGTTGCTGTAGTTTTCAATCAATTCAGAAATATGGTCGATGAATGAAACTATGTTTCTTAGTATATGTTTTACTGCGTAAAAGCAATCAGACTTTTATTTTGATCATTATTCTTTCTCCTTCATACTAGAAAAATAGTTAATATCGAAGTAAGAATTGAATTTAGATTAGAGCTTAATTCAATTCTATAAGATTCTGTAGGCGTTTTTCACTTCTGTCATTTACTTTCGCTCCTAGTTTACGATTAATTTTCTTTAAAAATGTCATTCGCGGATGTGCTTTTGGCAGATTTAGAAGATGAATAAGTGATGAAGGAGATGAAACAGCATGGACGGGAGGGCTTAGAAGAAGTAGGTGAACAGTTGCCATATATGATTCTGTTACAGATTTAGAAATTAAAACTCTCTTTAAATATTTAATTTTTTTAAATATATATTTAAATATTTGAGTGAGTGGAGATTGAGGTCTTTGACTTCTCTTGTTAGTTGTACAGAAGGCTGTATTTCTATTCTCGTGCATCCTTCATTATTTGTGGTTGCAACTAAATTTTAAAAGATTAATTCTACCAGTTAGAGTCATTTGAAGCGGATCACCAATATAATTTGATCGTGGAACTATGGGGTATGCAATGATGCTAAAAAAGTTTTTCATAGTATCCTTGGTATTGTAACTCTGTTACATGTGTAACAGCTTTATTCTTTTGTTTTGTCGATTATTACTATTATATTTGTATTTATATTATTATTATTATATTTGTATTTATATTATTATTATTATATTTGTATTTATATTATTATTATATTCATATTTATTATGTTTACATTATTATTTAATATATTCACCACAATAATAACAAGAAATTATACCAACATACACTAAATATTCGTTGAGATACTGAATATTCTCAAATTAATACTAAATAAGAATTGGCATGTCGAACGTATCGAATTGGATCTGTTCTCATCTGATCCATTTCTTTTAAATCCTTTGAAGTGAAAGCTTTTTCTTTGTTAAGATTGGAGTGAATATTTGATAAAATGCAGTTATAAAATCATTTCGAGTTTTCCCTTTTTGACTATAATTCCAGAACGAAAACTGGAGTATGATGTTTTGAGTTTGCTGTTTTTAGAGATGTTGGAATTGTTTGTTTCTATTGCTCAGTATATTTTGCATTTTTAATTACTTGTTTAATTAAAAAAGTGTTTATATATTAGAAAAATAATGTTATTTCAGTTTTTTTATTGATTGCGAAAGTGCATTCTTCGTTTTGCAACCTTTTGTATTTCATATTGCACATTAAAAGAGCCAGTATTCCTGACTGTGTAAACCGATGAGTCATCTTCTAAAGAGACGATTGGAATAGAGACAAACTGTTTCAGATTCAAGTTTTATCCAAAGAACAGATCCAGAACAGACGCTATTGATCTGGGGATAATTTAAATATTCTCTTCTCTGATTTATAGTTATTAGAGATTGTGTATGAACTATATTTGGTAGTAATGGAGACAATTACCTGGTCATCTCAAAGTGAAGCCGATAAAGAAATTGATGAAGGTATGCCTCGCTATAGGAGAACACTGTGATTCCTGAGAAAGTTGTGTGGTAGCTTCAGGTTTTCTGAGCGGTTTTTTATTGCTTACGTAGTAAAATCTTTTCAGAAGATGAAAGCAACATTTATATCCATGGTATACCAATTCCTTCACAAATTCTTGCAGAAGTGTTGGTCAGAGTTGATAATCGTCGTGATGTTGGTTATATATGTCCTTTGGTAGGTTGTTTTCGTTATTTCATCAATTTTGGTGGTTAACCCATCTATGTAAATTGTTAGAAACAAATTTTATATCTTCACTAATAATATGTATTGATCACGCCACTATATTAAATTTGTACTCTTTTAATACTCTTTATTCCTATTTCTTTACAACCAAGTAGAATTTTTAAAAGCCATAAGGAAGGCAATGCATTCAAACATACTGAAATCCGGAAACGCAACTGCTTGGTTGAGTAAATTTAAATGTGATGTATTTGCCGTAGTATTTGAAATTGTCATATTCACATATTATTGTTTCACTTTACTTCTAAATGTGTTCCACTTTATTTCTAAAATTGATGAGTATTCTTTTTTTAGAGCTATTGCAGGTTTGTCGTCGGTGGTACAGTGTTTTATCTGCTCCCGGTTTCTGGATCAGTTATATGATATACCGATCAATGGATTTGCCTCCCAACTCGTTACGAAATGAACCTTCACTCAATGTCAAAAAAGTTTCTCTTATGCAAGCTTTCGGCCGCAATTTGATTAACAATCCTAGTGGTGACGATCGATATGAAAGTTGGGAAATGGGTGAAAACGGCGGTGATGGGTTAAGTTTCAGTATATTGTTTTGAACATTTCTGATGGAAGAGAAACAAAAACCATGTCGTCTGCAGATATTTATATTTGATTCTAATCCTCGAATCTTATTTGGATGTGATTCAGATGATGCAGGAGAGCTGAGGAAAACGAGACTTAGAACTAGCATACGAATGTAATGATCTCAACCATATTGAAATCACAATTTAGATTCGGAATCGAGAAACCACCAGTAGGTTGTGTACCAGTGGAAAATATACCGGTTGCATTTGTGACAAGCTATGATTGGTGCAGTAAATTTCAAATCATTGATTTGTGGAAAGAGGGAATTGAAGTAATTATTTTCCTTTGTCATTTGTTTATTCTTTAAGCTACATATAGTTTAAATCAGTTATTGGTGATATTTAGAATGTCTTTTTCCTTACTGCACTGAAGCAATTCAGTTCTTACTGTCAACTTTACTGTTGGTTAAAATTGTGGACTTCAAATAAATGTAGTAAAAACAGCTTTCCCTAGCACATCCTGACAAGGATCTCATTTAGCGTTCTTTTTTGGATGAATTTTGTCCACCAATCACCGTTTCGGAGTACCATACAGGTCGCTTCAATTACCCATCGATTTATTTGTTAGAAGTGCAGCTGCTTCCCGATGGAATTATGCCTTTGCCATACAGACCAATGCCAGGATTTCTTGTGTATGCTCGGTACCCTCGCCTCTCTCAACAGTATGATATACCACATGAATGGCTACATCGTGATGTACCACAGCGTGATGAAACAACCGATACTTCAATAACCCGAATTCGCATGTTGAAAGGTAAATTTTTACGTTAATTTCATTTTTTCTACTTTATCAAAAACAGAATAAAGCAGTTCGCTGATAATATATCAACGAACGTGCAGTGTCGTTAATTCCTTTAGTTGATAATATTTTTTTTCTGGGTTTGAGAAGCTGAATGGCGAAAGATCGAACATACATTTTCGAATTATCCTAGAGGCATTCGTTACGTATTATTTCGACATAGTGGAAAAGATCAGCAGGGATATTGGGATGAATGTTATGGTTCAAAAATGGCTAAAGCTTCGGTTATTGTAAATTACGGTAATGGAGAACGAAGATTTATACCCTGATGAACGCAATTTCGATGATTTGATAAAAGTTGGATTTAAATTCAATGAGATTTAAAGTTTTTCATTATATGAATTTGAACTATGCTGTACTTATGTAACTTGCTTCTAATATCGAACACAATATCAACGCATGATGTTTTCTTTATTTTATTAACTTTTTTATACCACTGGTTCATCTCAATTACTTTTTGAGTTCCTTATAACGAGACGTCAACGGAATATCTATTTACGCCATTTTTTTTTTTTTAATGAGTTATACTTGGTAGTTAATTGGCTTCTTTAACAAAAATATTGCAATGATTTTAGACCTAATGATCCGTTGTCTTAGTTACTTTGTATGTTCTTTTTTCCCCTCTTCCCTTGTTTCTTTTCAAATTCCATAATTTTTTCCAATCTTTTCTAATTTTTCTTTTCCAGAAAGTAAGCTCCCTAAAATGATCTGTTTTTGGTATTATGCTTCTTTTTCTTCCTTACTGAAAGTAACAAATTTTTTTTTGTTTGTAACTCTGTAGTTCAGTGAAAATTCTGGCTAGTCTCTGTCTGAAACGTCGATACTAAATTATGATTAGATATGTTTTTATTCTTACCTTTCTTATCAGTGTTGATTGAGAGAATCTCTAGCAGTATTCTAATACAATTATGCGCGGTATATTTTTTATATTCTTAACCTTTTTTTTATAGGTTCTTTAACGGATTACGAAGCGACATTTGGTATTTTAAAGAAAATTGCACTCTTCATTTCATTTTTGTTGTATATATTAATTATTATTCTTCAATTTACATGCTGTGGAATGTCTTTTTGATCGGAAACAATTCCTGATAATGTTGTATTTTGCTTGCTGCTAGTCATCAGCATTTCTATTAATTTCTAACTGACTTGATATGTTTTTGTTAATGTCTAGGCTTTAATTTGAAATAGTCTTGTTGATAATGGTTATTTGTTGGACTGCATCAGGGGTAAACTTTCGAAAAAAGGCCTTTTCCGAAGCTTTCATTAATTGTCAAAATGGAAATAGCACAAAATGTTTTCAGTGATGTGATGAGATTGAATAAATCTAGGTTAATTGGGAAGAAATGAAGTACTGTTGATTGATAGCTATAATTCGTTGTTACCTTAGAAGGACATTGATTTTCACTAACATGAATTGCATTCTTAATTCACTTATTCTGATTTTGTATTGTTGTTTATAATTTGAAATACTGAATATAGTAATAAATTATCTTTTGCTCCCTTTTAAAGGAAATCTGTGCACAAAAATTACTCTTTTTCTGAACACTTAATATCCGTCCCTATTTCTTAGGTTCACTTTCTATCAGATTTAATTACTTTATTACTTTGAAAAAAAAAACTAAATTTCTATATTGTGTGTTGAAAAATTAAATTTCCATGTCAAGAATACAGTAAGGATTTATTAACATAACTGATTCTTTCGGATTGTTTTTTAGTTTCCAGTTGTATTTGTATTTGTTTCTTTAGTTATAATTTTAAAAGAACATCAAATTTAGAGATTTTACCATGTTAATAAAGTGATTACCAGAAGTTGTGTAACTGATTCTTTTGGGTTGTATTTAATTTCTAATCATGTTTATCAGCAATATTTTCTATTAATAAAAACAGTACATTGGACCAATCTCTCTACACTATGATGCATATCAAACATAGAAAAGATAATTCATTAATTCACAACTTTTTTTTTTATAATGATTAACCATGACACTCAAATTTAAATTTGGTCAATGTTTGAGTTCCAAACAAAGTCTTGGACCTGGCTTTAATAGCTCGCTTATAGTTGAACTCTTTGATATTATTGCTGAATTTTCAATTTGATAAAGGCTTAACCTTGGATTATTTTCTCTTTTTTAAGTGCTTTCAAAAAAAAAATATATATATATATATAAATTAATTGCTTCCATTATCTGTAACTTACTTGTATACCTGTAGTACGTTATATAAGGAAGTATCAGGTACAATTGAACCCTTAAAAATCTTATATTGAAGTCATTTTATAGATTCCATAAAAGCACTTTACTTTTCCAGGAAAGTTTAACGATATATCAGAAGGTGACTATATGGTAGATCAAATATGATAAATGTTTTGGAGAATCTCGAAAAGGCGAGAAAGGATCAGCTGACTATATAAAAACTGTTGAGCAAATTTTATTTTTAGGATGTTTAGAAAGAAATGCTTGATTATATCCATCAGAAATGTATTGAAAGTGACAGAGCGTATCTTCAGAGACTCATTTTTGAAATTCAAGGAGAAATTATGAGTGCTTGTTGCTAAAATGTGTGCTGGATAGGTATATTTATGGTTTAGAAATTAACTTAAAGGGATTTCAAGATAACAAAATAAATGCTTGAAAATGCTTTATCCAACTCAATTGTTTCATATTTTGCAATTGTACAGAACAGAATACTCATTAGAAGCTATGATTACAAGAAAATATTCTCGGAACTTCTAAACAAGTTGAAAAGACTCTCCCATCTGATGTTAAATACAGAAATATCGATAGCTTCATGCGTAGATAAGAATATTCGCCAGAAGTATACTTGTTTACTTTTTTTTTCTGGCAAAAATTATTGCATTAATTGTTGCAATTTGTTTTTTAAATTTCTACATATACAAATTTTATTTGTCATAATTTCTAAGATTCATAGAGATAGAAGTAGATTTGAATTTACTTATAAATGATTGTTTGGTTATATGAGACATTATCTGAGATGGCTGTAACCCTTATGGACGATTGAATTGAAATTTCATTTTATAATGTTTAAGTAATATTTGTGATCAATTTAATCACTTGAAGAATTTCTCACGGAAAAAAAATGGATGACAAAAAATGAAAAAGAACCAACTGTTTACTTAAAATCAGGATGAGTCAATGAATAAACAATTTTGGATATTTCTTAATTGTTGTATGGCTCAAATAGAACGAAAATAACATACTTTCAGGTAAAAGCAAATAATACCAGGAGGAGTTACCAACTGAAAACCGGAAATATAAGAAAGAGTGAAATTGTATGTTTATAAGCTAAAAGATACGATTATATAAATCTATTTATGCTAACTTTCTTAAAGTAACCTAACAATAGCTGTTAATAACCTCCGATTTTTAATCCTTTTTTTTTTTCCTTTTCCCACTTTTTTGCCGCTTATCTTTTTAATTTTTTGTTAAAATGTAGAAGAGATCAGATGAAATACTTTTTAAATTCTTTTCTTCCATAGCATTGTAAATTTTCATCTCTTTTAAAATGAGAAAAGCAGATGGAAATTTTTATTTTTACCTTTTCATTTGTTAATGTTTCGAAACTTTTAAAAGTGTCTAATGAAATGATGCATAAAAAGAGTTTTATTTTGTATTTACTGCAATAATTATTTTAGCAATATTTCTCTTTCAGAATGCAATTCTTACCATCACTTCTTCCGTTATTATTGACAGGTATAATAACAGGTGTATCAAAGTCATTACAATTCTATAAGAAAAGGTGTCACAAGCTGTCTTATCTTTAAAATATATGGTCAAATGATAATACATACACATATATATTTAGTTTAAAAATATATTTAAATATTTAGAAGCTAATTACACTGTAACTTATTCAGATTATGTTCCAATTGCATATCAAAAAAATAGTTTTCATTAATTAACTGATCATATCTTTATCAATAACTTCACCCTTTTTGGCATAAATTTTTACAATTTTAAATTGACCAATAATATTGACCAATAAAGTATAATTTTGGTATTGTTGAGGAGCAAGTTTTGTGCTGGGACAGTGTCCAGCAGGTGGTACAGCGATGCTAAACGGTTATCGGTGTACATCGAGCACACAGTGCCAGAATATCTCTCCGGAATACTACTGTTACCAGGGAGTTTGCTGTTTGGATAGCTCAGGTATTCTTCCTGAAACTCTTCTCTCTACAAATCCAATCAACCATGCATCTCACAAACTATGCAAATTGTCGCTCTTCTACAAATTTCCACTACAGCAAACTCAGTATCATACGGTGGATACTGTACGATGACCGCACAATGCAGTACATTTGGCGCAATGTGCATTTCACATGTATGCCAGTGCGCAAATGGTTCGCAGTACAACGGTCGTGCGTGTATCGCAAGTAGGGTTCTTCAATTTACTAGATTTTCTAGAATTCTAGATTTATTAGATTAAATGAATATTAAATGCGAAGTGGAATTTAAACTTTATACCATAAGTCTTGTGATCTTCATTGGTTACTTTAGAGAGTAACCAATGAAGATAATCGAGAAATAGAGAGATATATCATACATCTACCTGTGTGACATATAGTATACCTTTGTTTTATAATTTATTTCTAACGTCATCTTCACGTAACATTTCTATAGCTCCAATTCTTTGTCCTTCAAATCAAATTTCGATAAATGGGCAGTGCTATCGGAGAGTAACCTATGGTTTTCTATGTAATTATACTCAACAATGTGCTTATATTGGCGCTTTTTGCACTGATGGAATTTGCCGTTGTCAATTTGGTTTTACTTTTGATGGAAGCAAATGTATTCCACGTTCTAAGAGTTAGCTATTGGAATTGTTAAATTATTTTATTAATAAATAAAATTGGATTAATATATCTACTTGATGATTTTGGCATATATCATAATTGGTCTGAAATTGATCAACCTTTTTTGATAAGTTTTTGTTCACATCCTTGTAAATAAATGCTAGTTTCCTTGTTGTTTATGGACTTTTAGTCTGTCCTGGAAATCAGATAGCCATTAGTGGACAGTGTTATCCATTTGCTCGCTTGGGTGAAGCATGTATGTATAGTGAGCAATGTATCGATAAGTGGTATCGGTCACTTTTGTGTGTTAATGGTCAGTGTGTGATCCAAATGAATGATGACACTTCGAGAGGTAAGCTTAAATACTTGTTACTTATTTTTTGTTCTTTTTCATATTAATTCTAATTTTTTAAGCAAATTTTATTTCAAAGAAGAAAGAAGGAAAAAATAAAATGAAAT